TTCCTAAAATATGCTAAGTACAAAATTTGACATTTCATTTAACATTTCTAAACAAATAAATAAAAGTGAACTGTCTGTTTGTATGTTCAAAACAACAGCTTTTTACTAAATGCATATGAAAGTATATGGCGGCATTTATAACAAAAACATTTTTTTTTAATTTTTATGTCGTTTGTTTGTTCGGACTAATGTCTGAAACGGCTGCACCATTGATAGGACTTTTACTAACATATAGCTGATGTTATAAGGAGTAACTTAGGCTACTTTTATTTTAGAAAAATAATTAGGGTTCCGTGCTAAAAAATTAAAGCCCATGACATATAATCCTAAGAAATTCCACGTGGACGAAGTCGCGGAGAACAGCCAGTTTTAAATAAAAATATTTACTATTAAGCAAATAGTTATAAGTTATAATAACAGTAATAAGGACGAGATTGATGTGCGAGCGCACTTTCCAGTCCAGATTGTAAGCAGATGCTCTGGCCCAGAAGGCACCTACATCCATTCACGATTAAGGATCAAAATGCCGATGTGGTGTCACCCCTGAGTACTAAATTGGAATGTCTCATTGCGAGTAAAAAGGAATAGGTTCTCGCCACTCACCAAACGAAACAAATAGTAAAATAGTACAGGTACCCATCGAACGATTGGCCTAGTGCTCGCAAAGACTATTGCTCGTCATAAGGCTCAATTTTCACTGCTCCGGAACGGAATGGAAGCGAAATTTTGTAACAAAATTGTACATAGCAAAATAAGTCTTATGTTAATTATGTAACGCGTAAACTAGATAGCCAAAAAAGAAGTCATGGGCAAGTATGGGCGATGAACTCTGGTTTGGTTGCTCCGGTTATATTAAATCTAATACGAGCACTGGAGTCTGAGCTACTATGGCTTTATTATGACTAGTACCCGGTTGACCGAGCTTCGCTCGGTATTTTTCGCTCGGTTTTTTTTTAATTTGTGTGTTTTGGAAATTATATTTAGATACAAATTACATACTGATGAAATACGAATAATATTTTTTGATCTTAGCGACATAATAGAAAAAACTGAACTGGTTATTTGAATAAAAAATCATGAGTGCAATTAGTTTAATTAAAATTTTCGTATTTTTAAAAAATACTAAAAAAAGGGCTCGAAAAAACAGATTTTCTCAAAAAAAGAAAGGAACTTGAAAAAAAAATTAAAAAAAGTCGGTCGGTCGGTCTGGGCTCGAACCGTGGTATTACGGTTTTGTGACCGCCCAATATACCAATTAAGCTATTTGTAATCATTAATAAACCGTCAATTTATCTTCTCATTCTAACGATATTGTAGCAGTTTTTCATTGCCTAAAAACATGGACGAAAAGACATTTTCTAAAAATAAATCCCAGCTAGATCGATGTATTGCCCCCCGAAACTCCCTGTACACAAAATTTTATGAAAATCGTTGGAGCCGTTTCCGATATTCGGAACGAATCGTTATATATATTATATATATATATATTTTTTTTTTATATATATATCATTGCTCGTTTAAAGGTATAGGATTATAGTGACAAATATTTAAAAATAAATTGTACTGTTAGAAAAAAGGTTTTAGCAACTTCATAAGTTTTTTTTAAATAGGATAAGGCGTGACAAACGAGCACACAGTCCACCTGATGGTAAGTCGATGCTGTAGCACATAGACGATATTTAGCATTAAGCTGCTCACGGTGGTATTCTGTGAGAGCGTGGTCCTTCCCCGGTCAAGCCGATCCATATGGGTATATATAGCATACATAGCAGCTTAATGCTGCTGTGTTTCGTATGGTGAGTGTAGAGAACCGGAGATACTTTTTACTGGAAACGAGGCGTAACATATTAGTTATTAAACGTGACAATAACAAAGTGATATATATTTTCTAATACTACAACCATAATATAGCTGCAGCGTGGCTCTACCACGCATAAAGTACTTACAAGTACATTACAATACAATTTAATTACATATTATAAGTTAAGCTAAATTTGATGTTAAACCGAACATAAATTATAGGCGCTGATAACATGTCTCTGTGGCGCAGAGGATAGCGCGTTGGACTTCTAATACAAAGGTCGTGGGTTCGATCCCCACCAGGGATGTACGTTTTCTTTTTCTGTTTATTTTCAAGCAATTTACAATTATTAACAACAAACATTAACCATTAGACCAGGGTTAACATAACATCGTTTATTAGACACGATTTTCGATGACAAGGCTCGGAAAAAAATATGCGCATAAATGAAATACTCAATTAAATTCTTGATCGAATAGATTTTTAAAATACTTTATAAAAATCAAGATGGAAAAATTATAATTTATTGCCGGCAAAATACTTTTGACGTTCAAGTTTTTTAAACTCGTTTTTTAAACGTTTACAATCAATAATATTTTCGATAATATGAAAGTCATTTTATTGAATTAGATTCTTCATCGGCTACATTTTTACATAGATCCTTTATTTATTGATGATAAGCAAAATTGCTTCGTGCTAGACAAATGGGAGGAATCCCCGCCTTAACTGAATACTTTTTAATGCAAAAAACAAAATAAATTTAAAACATGAATAATTATTTTAATTTAATACTAGCTGGTATTCGGCGCGGCGCTGCCGCAGAAGAAATAATTGTGGAAATATCATTTTAAATTTGGAAGAGTTATGGACGACACACACGACGACACGACTGATCATTCCAACTGATCAGTTCAAACCAGGACTGTTGATATTTTTTAAAATACCGGATTTTCGATACATCGATAATTATAAATATATCAATATAGTAATTATATATCCAATATTTAAAAAAATATCAACAGTCCTAGTTTGAACTGATCAGTTGGAATGATCAGTTGAACTGACCGTGTGTGTCGTCCATTATATTGTTTAGTAGGGATGATAAATGATAATACATTCATTGAAGTTGAATGGTATATAATAAATTTTAAAATAAATTTGTCGGTACGATACGCACGCCACCTGCTGTAAGTTAATTGTACTATGCCTAAAACCTTCGCGCAAATGCACCCAATGTGTTGACAAGTTTTACCGCAATCTGATGAACGCGCATAAAATACGAACAAACAAAAATTAACTTTTATATTATATTAATATTTATCGTTCTTTCCAATAACGAAACGAACGGTTTGTATGCGTAATTGCTGTTCTTTGCTACTTTTTAACCTGTTGAGTTTAGAGAACCGGAGAACCTTTTTACTGGTACGGAAGCATTTGATATTAGTCCTCAGGTGTGATGAATGCATGCATGAATGAATGCATCTACAGTTTGAATCTTAATGGAGGATAGATATATATGTCTGTTTGCCACAGCATCCGCTTACCATCAGGTATACTGTGTGCCTGTTTGTTATTAACCGAATCCAAAAAGAAGGAGGTACTCAATTCGACTTTTTTATGTGTTACCTCAGAACTTTTTTTTAAGTGAACCGAATTTAATGAATTTTATTTGAAAGCTGGTGCTTCTCGTATGCATACATAAACACTCACGCCTGTAACCCAGAGGGATAGGCAGAGACTGCAGACGTCCATTTGGCACGATCCTGACACACCTCTCTCGCCTCCTCCACATCCATATACCTGCGCATACATGCTCGTCGGTTAAGGGTGATTCTCGTGGGGTCCCATATAAATTTGATCAAGATCTGACCAGTAGTTTTTGTGTTATACTTAATAATGCGTATTTAATTGAGTACGACTACATTGGTGATGTTCTCATTTTATTTATATTGTAGTCGGTTGTACAAAACTATTAACTTGTTCTATAAAAAAAGTACATTTCTGGATCGTCTGGCGGTTCAGTAGTATGAGAGAAATAACCGGTATAATAAAATATTGTTATAAACGCTATATATATATATATATATATATATATATATATATATATAATGAAAGTGCGCGCTTTATTTTGGTTAGGTTTTATGGTTTTTAGATATGAGAAAGGATATGTTTTATAATAAACTAGTGATCCGCCGCGGCTTCGAACGGGTGACTTTTGGATCTTGAGAACAGCGCCACCTATCCGAGTCCTAATGTGAATCTCATCCCAGGAACTCAAACGATTTCATCAAAAACGGTCAAGCCATTTTTGAGTTTTGGCGAAATTAACGTACAATTGATTTTTTTATATATGATATACATATTGAGCGATAAAAATGCTGGCAGTTATTTTGTAAAATCCCCGGGAACTAATTTGTTATGCGAGATTCGCTATTTTAATTTAAAATTAGAACACAATGTGTAAATATAGCAATGTTTATTGTTTACATCCGAAATAACGATATGGTCGTAAGACGTAGACCCAAGTTATTAGTGTTTTAAGCCGAAGAAAGCAAACTAATAATAATTTCGATTTCGAATGATGAAGAAATAACTACCCCTAAAATGATTGCTAATATTTACAAATAAACCACTCGTGGACAATTTGAGAATACTTTAAATTCTTAATATGGCTAAATTGTTGTATGAGTGATGTCTTATACTATCTTTCTCTGTCAATTACAAGTAGGTACCATTAAAAGGGTTTGAATGATAATACACCCCAGATCTTCATTTTCAGATTTAAAATAATAATAGCGTGTGCATTTGAGCAACGTAACAGACGTGATTGTGAGAAATGTTAACTTTTAACAAAGCCAGATGTTGGTTGAGATTAAAATAACTGATATGGCGTCTCTTTTTTTGAGAGAAATTCGTAAGTAGGTATATAAAGAAAACCAATTTATAGTTTATCGAACCTGCTTATACGGCTGTTTATCATAACCTACAAGCTACATAGTAAACATTCTCTCCAAAAAAACTCACGACGCATAAAAAAGGGGTTAGAGACCTGCTCGAGAGAAAAAAAGGTATCGAGAATACGAGGGATAGACCTCCGTACCTCCGTGGCTTGTTCAGCGGCCGCCCCACTCGGTTATCCGCCGGGGCGGGCCACCCCGCATCTCAACAGAAATAACACTGTACTGGCGCGTTCACTTACAATGTTCCGGTTGCCTTTCTTCCTCATACGAACATCGCAGGCCGATCCATTTAACTATTTTCAAACTACACTACACAAACACAATCCGAGCGCACTGACATGGGAGTTATACGTTTTTTTATCTTTTTTGGGAGCGTCGAGTTCACACTCGCAGGTAGCCGCCGGTCGGTCCGAGCGGTCTGTAGCTAGGTGCGTTACATTATTTCACTGAAGTGTTTGAAAGCGTCCTCGTGTCCGCGTAGCATCGAGCATTGTTCACGATACAACAGTACAACCACTCGCGCCTCGCTCGATCGCACTGGGCTAGGCGTCGCGCGGGGTGAGGTGCGACGCCGCCGCGGGGAAGATACTGTTTTGCCGACGCGATCAAAAACTGCTTTATCGACTCCGTGGACAGGTGGTGCTGTGCGCAGTCGAGAAGTTTCATGTTTATTTGCAAGCGGTCCAAGCGCCACAAACTAATAATAGTGTATTTAAGCACTTTCTATCTTTATTACCATATTATTTACTTTTACACAGCTTAAATTTAAGGGAAATGTCTGGTCTGAAAATTGTAAATCAAAAGGAAAAGTAGATATGGACTTATAATATTGAAAACTAGGCCGTGACCGGTAGGAGGCGCTATGAGCTTAACACCGAATAATGTAATATTCTGAATTTTATACCGCTAATTAATATATAAATAATTATTAAATTTCGTTTGTTAAACTTATTAATATCAAGACTACAGCGCTACCTATGGGGTACAGATTTTGTGTTCTTTTTTGTCACTAAATTATGAATGAGTCACTGGTTCATAATATAAACAACTTGATAATAACTTGACTACAGCGCCATCTATCGATTCCTAGCATCGTCTTACACAAAATAATATTTTGTTATATTTAGTTGTTATGTTGTTATATTGCATAATTGTGACTGTGTATTAAAAAGTGTCCATAGAAAACCGTTAAATAAGGGTAGCGCCACTATGGCTACGGGCTAAATTTTAAAGAACGTACCGAAAAACATTAGTGGGATAGACGACTTTTTCAAGGTTATATTAACTAAATAAAAATATTTTAGATTTTAGAGCTACTGAGCAGTTTAGCAGCAATGCAGCACACTTCAAACTGTCGACAACTGCTAAGTTTATTTCATACTAGTAGCTACTTCAGCGCTGTTGTGGAGAGTTTTTGAACTGTTATTTACTGCTAACAGATGGCCACTTTTTCAACTATTCTACTATGGGAGTTAGGTAGTACTCCTTACTTCTACACTCCATAATTGGGTCCTTACATACATATGAAATTAGGGTTTTGTCGTACTGACCACTTTGATCTGAAATATCTCCTCTTTGGTTAAGAATTCCAAATTCAAATTTATAATTTCATTTAGCTGGTACACTTGAATTTTGAGAATAGTCATTTATTTGCTTTTTTATTATTATTTTTTTTTTGGCGTCGCTTATTACCGCACAATAAAAAACATGAAATATCGGCATATTTACGAGTACGAGTTCTACCGTGGCATCAGTGCTGTAGAAACAGCTCGAAGGATTTATGATGTGTACGGCGCTGGTGTCGCAAAAGAAAGCTTTGGTTTTTGGTTTCAACGTTTTCGTTCTGTAAATTTCGACCATCAGAATCAACCCCGTGGACGGCCGGAGAACTAAGTGGAAAATGAAGTATTAAAGGCTATTGTGGAAGCGGATCCATCACAAAGCAATTCAGAGATAGATCCAGGCTTCGGGGTAAGTGATAAAACTGTATTAATTTTTTTTTCTTTTTTTTACTTCCACTTGAAGCAAATCGGGAAAGTAAAAAAAACTTGAACGATCCCTACCTCATGAATTGAGTGAATCGAACTTGTAAACACGGGTTATTCGTCATCTCACCCGACAAAAACTCGCCCGATCGGGCGACTTGGCGACTTTCGAATTTACCTAATATTTCTGTCGTCAACTCGCACGCTCGCACAAAGTACAGCCAGGGAAAAAATAAACTAAATTTTAAAAACTACTTCAAATAAAACGAAATTGTATTAAGTAAAAATTTTAACTAAATTTTAAAAACAACTTAAAATAAAGGTACTGACTAAATATTGTTGTTTTATATCCGAAATATATATATATATATATATATATATATATATATATATATATATATACACACATAAAAAATAAAAATACAAAATATATTTCGTGCCCGCGAAAATTCAAAAGTTTTTATTAGCTGATTACTACAGCTCGAAGAATAGAATGTTGGTTATCGCTAGTGATAATTGTGAAACAATGGGTGCGTTTGGCAGAAAAAAGCGCTAGCAAGCGCTTGTAAGCAAAATGGCGATCGTAAGCGGTAAGCGCTGTCAAATCGTAAGTAGCTATTTTCCTCCAGGACACGATGTTAGTTTTAACAGGGGAATCTAACCTAATTTAAATATATGTTTGTAAAGTATTCATATTAAAAACTTACCAATCATGAGTTTTTAATAGCATGTATATGTTTATTCATGTCATTATATTACTTAAAACTAATATTGCACAAAACAACGTATAAACTCTACTTCAAAACAAACAATTTAAATAAGCAAAATGGCGGATTGTGTCAGCGCTACTGAAGTAGCAATCGTGTCCTGGCCGAAAACTATTTTAGCGCTTATAAGCGCTTGCTAGCGCTTTTTTCTGCCAAACGCACCCAATATTAGCAAATTGTAATTTGACAAGTTTTATGTGACGAACTTTTAAATTTTGTCCAAAACCCTTCCAGCAATTGTAAACCTTACATATTGATTTAGGAAGCAGTGAAACACATACTAACATCATACCTAAGATTTATGCATTATTGCCAAACAAAAATAAAATAACTTATAAAGTGTTGTTTTCGCTGATCAGTTCGATCCTAAAAATATAATACTCGTAAATATACTATCACAGATGTATTCCCAGATACTTGCATTTGTGGGTGTTTCTTTCATTTTTGTAGAAGTTTGTGGCGAAAGGCTGACGAAGGAGGCATAACAAAATCTACACTGTCTTGAAAACATATAAAAAGGTGTATTGTTTTGGCACATTTACCTAAAGAATTTATTGACAGTGGTTGTTGAATGTACAGAATGTACAATTCTGTCTCAATGCCCCAACGATGAAACAATTGTCCAATCTAATAATTATTTTGTAGAAACATGGATGAATGAACAAAACATGAATCTTCATTTTTTGCTGACAAATGGTCGTGTAGTAACAATCATCACCATACCACAAATATGAGAGAGCTGGCATGCTACTGTAAACAAAAAAGTAAAGAGTAAACTGAAAAGCATTGTTCATTTTTTGACTATCTTACAACGAGAAGATAATTATTATCATACTTTATACTTAAAAGGATCAAATATTACGATAAAACGGAAAGAAACTTGTGCTATTGATAAATATATTGCTACCACAATTACCGAACTCAGACTCGGAAACATAAGTATTGAATTATATATCGAAAGTCTTATATTATAATTTTTTGAATATTTTGATTTGAAAATAAATAAGAATAAAAACTGTGATCTGTGATTATACTGACAATTTTTTATGTATGTTGTAAGAAGTGGTTATAACAAGCCAAATGCTCCTGTGATATTATTGATTTTTATATTTAGAATGCTTTAGTGATATTGTCGATTATATTTTATATTTTTGATCACATTTTTATACTTAGCAACACGTTATACTTAGCTAATAAACAAGCTTTGAGATTAATTATATTTTTTTTTTGACTTTGATTATTATTTGATGTAACATGCTTTTATATTTTTAGGATGTTAATTTGTGTTTTATTTGTAGTCGTCATTAAAATTTAGTTTAAATTTTTATTTAATACTAGCTGTTCCCTGCGACTTCGTTCGCGTGAAATTTATTACGATTGAATTTCATGGATTTGAATGTTTTGCGAAAGACCCAATTCTTTTTCTTATATAAAAATAAGACTAAGTTACTGCTTATAACTTCAGTTATTTGGCTGTGAAAGTCCTGACAAAATTTTTCAGCCATTTCGGAGGTTTTATTAGAAGTCGTTTTTAAAATTTAGTTTAATTTTTTTCCTGGCTGTACTTTGTACGAGCGTGCGAGTTGACGACAGAAATATTAGGTAAATTCGGAATGTCAAGTCGCCCGATCGGGCGAGTTTTTGTCGGGCGAGTTGACGAATCGAACTTGCAAACACGCGTCGACTGCTGTGTTAGGTACTTTGCTCTGAAGGGATTTTATATCGAATCATCACTAGTGATGGAATATGGATACTGTACGATAATCGGAAGCGCTCGTCGCAATGGCTGAACCCTGGAACCCAGCCAAATCCTGCCGTAAACGAAAATTGACTCACAAAAAGTTAATTGTGAGTGGTGGACTAGCGCCAGTGTCGTTCACTACAGCTTTCTAAAATCTGACCAAGCGATTGCGGCAGATATCTATTGTCAGCAACTGCAAACCATGAAGGAAGAACTAGCTGCTAAACAACCGAGATTGGTCAATCGCTCTAGGCCACTGCTGTTTCACGACAACACAAGACCACACACTGCACAACTAACAACCATTGAAATAATACTAGTTTTTACGGAATTTATCGCGTATATTTTAACTTTTTTAAATACCCGACGTTTCGAACGCTTTACAGCACTCATGGTCACGGGCAGGACTGAGATGTTCAACGTCCATATGTCATAGTTAACCGCGGTTACCACAGATTAAAATTTAACTTTTGTTCCGATCTATGCAGTATGAAAATTTAATCTATGGTAACCGCGGTTAACTATGACAGCTGGACGTTGAACATCTCAGTCCTGCCCGTGACCATGAGTGCTGCAAAGCGTTCGAAACGTCGGGTATTTAAAAATTTAAAATATACGCGATAAATTCCGTAAAAACTAGTATTATTTCAATGTGTAGTGTTCGCGTAAATATAAGAAATCATTAAACAAACAACCACTTAGTTAGATGAGCTACAATTGGAAAGTCTGCGACATCCACCGTACTCCCCGGACCTTGCTCCAACAGATTGCTA